TCTGGGTACTTTAAGGCATCATACTGTAAGTACAACCCATGTTGGGGGTTGTAAAATTGGTGGTGGTGGGGACATTGGAGGACAATTCTTCATCACTTAAAGATCCAGATTTATGAAGGTTCTGCCATCTTGTAGCTCTGTCATTGAGAAAATGTAGCACAGTGATTTCTGAGGAAGGGATAGGTGTGTGGGGGCCATGGACAAGATGTTACGTGCTTCATTTCCATTATATTCATAGGGAAACTTGTGACCCTAATTTCCTGCAAGTAGACTGAGCAGGGAGATCTTCCCTGTATTTAGGAAGGAAAGGAGAATTGGATATGAGTGAAAACTAGTGGTTACTACCACAGCAAGTTTTAGATTTTAGGTTATTTTTAGTGTTTGTGTCTTTGGAGTCTGTGTATATTATACATACTCCCAACATGGAAACTGTCTCCCCATTTGAATGATTGCAAGTTGAATCAAATTCAAATATACCCTTAACCCAAGTCTACTGTTAGGAAAAACAAACACATGAAACTCTGAATGTGAAATAAAACTATATTGGGAGCTTTTGTGAACGTTTCAGTTTCACTTTCTTTTCAAGTTGTTCTTTGTGATAGCATGTTTATTCAATTCCTGAAGCGTTGTCAAGTAAGTGGTATTTAATCTGTGAAAATTTTCAAGTGGCCCTTTTTTCTCTCAAGTGTTTTTTTTTTTTTCCCCTTCAAGTGTTGTAGTCATTTTAAGATTGAAATGAACTGTTTGATTTTTTAAAATTATTTATGGCACATCAAGTGGCACTTAGTGTTCAGTCACAATATTGAAACTGTTTCTGAAGGCCCATGTAAAATATGGTAGAAAGGTCGGGAGGCTTATGTATAGAACTTCTAGAAACATACCTCAGCATTGGAACTGGTTATAATTCCTGGGTGCTGACATGAAGATTAATAATGTTTAACTCTGATTTTGGCAATTTTTGCCAATTTCATTGCATGGTCCTTTCCTTTCAAGTTATTACCTGGAACTGAAGTGATAACAAATGTTTCATGTTTCATGTAGCCAGATAAAAAGGATAAATTTTCATATGTTATATGGCCTTCACACACACACACACACACACACACACACACACACACACACACAACTGAGTATGAAGGAAATGAGAAATTTTCCTAAAGTGGAAAGATTGTTCAAGTCTTGACATTAGGTGATCGGTTCCCATGCAGTTGAGTCACATGTACAAATTGGAAACTTAACCTGTGGGTCTTTGTGTACTGACTGTATCATACAGTTCTAATTTTCTTTTGTTTTTCTGGGAAATGAGCAACAAATGAGTTCTTTTGCCAAGTTTTATTATTGAATCAACCGCCAAAGTTTAAGAAAGAGAGTCAATGGTGCTTAAAATTATTTGGTGTTGAGTGAAGAGGCAGAGAAAGGTATTTCATGTTCTCCATACATTTTAACTTTTATGTCTCTACCTGATATTGGAATATCATTTAGATTTCGAGGCTTTTCTGATTCTTTTTTAAATGCTGCACACTATTGAGTGAGTCCGAGTATTAGTGAGGAGGAACTTTAATCCTTCTCATTGACATCCACTTTAGAACCACATATTTTGATTTTCAGTAGGCTATATTCTTTCTTGCCTGATCGTCCCTGTATTTAAGCTTACGTGTATCAGAAGGCCCCTGAGCCTGCTTGTGGTTTTGCACCATCTGGAAGTTCAAATTTGACTTTAGAAATGATGTCATACTTGCTTACTGCAAACTGGGCTAATGCTGGTTGAGAATTGGATGCAATTCAGGTCAAAGTTTTGTCTTAAAAAGAATAAAGACCCTTATGCTTCATTTCCTGATTTTAGGAGAGTGTACAAAGCTCTAAAGATAGCGTGAATATGACTGAAAGGCATGATTCAAATTACTTGCTTTTGGGAGATAGGAAGTAAACTGTCAAAAAGAAGACTCATTTGGCACAGACTCCCTCCTGCCATGTAGAGTTTGGGTGCTGTGAATAGTGTGTTGATCATGACCATCCTTGCTCTCTTTTATTCCTGGAGCAATATTCTCACAGGTCTGATTGCTTTTCATGTCTTCTAGGCCTAGGAAGATGCAGCGGGGTTCTGTACATCACACGTGGTAGGAAGGTACTACAAATGTTAGATGATTTCTTCATCAATGCAGAGTCTCTTTTTCTAAACTCCAGCACACTACTGCTTTCCATGTTGTAATTGATTTATATCACCATTTTGGCTATTGGGCATTTTGTTTAGTTCTGACATAGATCATCTGGCTTTGATAGCTAGAATGATGAGCTGACAGTACCACAATCATGGGTTTCTTCTCAGATTCACACTGAGTCCTGCTCAGTCTGTGTGTAATCTCTACAGTTGAATTTAACTCCTTATATAACCACTGCTAGACTTGAGTATTGGGCATATCTTAGCAATTTCCAAGGAATCTTCCAGATATTTTTCTTTACATATAAACTAAAAATAACATTTTTACCAGATAGGATCAAAACCTAAGGAGAAGTGTTGATGTTCCAGGGTGGTCGATGACGATGGCTTTAAATGAAGATGGGCTACTTGGAGAATGAAGAATGCTTAAGCTTCAGAGCAACTGGCATAGGGAAGGAAGAAGTTAAACTATCACTATTTGCAGATGATGATATGATAATATACATAGAGAACCCCCAAAACTCTACAGAAAAACTAATCAAACCAATCAATCAGTTTAGTAAAGTAGCAGGATACAAGATCAACACACAAAAATCAGTAGCCTTCCTATACACAAATAATAAATCTGAAGAAGAAGAAATCAAGAAAACCATTCCTTTTATTATTGAAACAAAAAAAAAAATCAAATACTTGGGAATAAACCTAACAAAAGAGGTAAAGGACCTATGCAAAGAAAACTATAAAACACTGTTAAAAGAAATAGAAGAAGAAACAAAGAAATGGAAAGACATCCCCTGCTCCTGGGTTGGAAGAATTAACATTATCAAAATGGCCATCCTACCAAAAGCAATTTACAATAAAAATTACAATGACATTCTTCCAAGAAATAGAACAAATATTGATGAAATTCATATGGAGCCACCAAAAACCCCAAATAGCCATTTTCATTTAGCAAAGGGAAGATAAGTATTCCCTTCACCTACTGTCACTATATTGGGAGGAGCACAGCTCTCAGATGTTTGTAGGGTTCTGCATTTCTCCTCCTCTGCAGGCACAGGATGTACACCCACCTTCCTAAAATTGTCAGGGCCACTCTACCAACTGCCTTCAGGAATGTGTGGACACCCTTTCCCTTGGTGGGACCTCCTGACTTCATATTCCTTTTTGGGTCAAGAGCTGGAAAAACCCTCTACTCACCCACCTTCCCTTCACCATTGACCTCTAGAAACTTTACTTTGGCACACTTTTCTTGTAAAAGAATAAAAGCGATGGGCCTCCCTGGTGGCACAGCAGTTGAGCGCTCAGTTGCGAAGCTGCCCGCAACCTCTGCAGTGCGGGTTCGATCCTTGGTCGCCGGGCGAGGGTCCCACGTGGTGTGCAGACCTCTCCTGCCGCCCGCTGCTCCCCTCAGCAATGTACTTCGTCAGTCTGCCTGTTCTGCTCTCCACTCTGGCTCTGGTGAATTCTCTCATCCTCCCGCGCTTCTGACTGTACCCAGTGCTTGTATAAATAAATAAATAAATCTTAAAAAAAATTAAAAAAAAAAAAAAAGTAAAAACGAAATCTACTCCAGTAACTTTTTTGTTTGTTTCCAATATCATCATCCTTCCCTGATGTATTCTACCCAAGACTGTCTTTAAGTTCTTGGTTTTGTAACCATCATTTCAGATACTTGGAGACTCCGTTCCAAGCTCTGATTTACAGATGGAGAAGTCAAGGCTGATTGGCTGGGGGGTGGGGAGGAAGGTGGAGGTTATTTGTCCTGATACTCCCAGATAGATAGAGGTGGATCACTAATATGAGTGTCCTCTTTCCATTTTTCCAAGTTGTCTTTTGACTCCGTGAGTTATTTATTTTGGTTATTATGGAGTTCTTGCATTTAAAAAAATGTTGTCCTTTTCTTCTCACTCAAATTTTACTTGATGGTAGTATAATAAGCAAAACACTCAACAAGATTTCCTATGAGAAACAGCAACCCCCTACATACTTCTGTTCCATTTCTTCTTCCCTTTTAAAATTTTTTGTCAGGCTGTTTCAGTATCTCTAAATAACATGCTTGCACTGCTCCTTCCTATTTGTCGATGTGGCTACTACTTCTTAAATTCCTGGTATGGGGAGTGAGCATTTAAATTCTTCCAGCACCCACATAAACATATTTTGCACATTGTCTACAATGTTAAATTAAAAAAAAAATAAACTTATATTTCTTTTTATTACTGGCATTTGAAAAGCAGAAATTGTAACCTGATTTTGGAGTTAATGTAGAAATAGGAATTTTTGGATATCCTTTGTCTTTTTTTTGGTATTTCGGAAGTAGTCTTTCATAAAGATGGAGAAGAGGGCCCACTTCCACAGCACTTTCATCCTCCAGCAGCATTTGCTTCCTCTTGGCAGCAAGCATTTTTCTAATTTAGGAATGTTTCCCTACGTGTCAATCTTGTTCTTGCAGATGTCTGTGGCGTGGCCAGTTGTGTTCTCCACATGCCTGGAGGAAGCTAGGAGTGTGTGAGCAGCACCACACCCTCCCTGCACCATCAGGCACAGAGTAATAGTGATCACTGTGCTTCGTTTGCCAGTTAATGGCTTTGTCCCATGGAGACATGCCTCTACTTCATGCCTTATCTCATTCAAAGCTCATAGTAAACACATCACTGCTCAGACATGCACACAACAGGCTTTAAGGGGGTTGTGCAGGCAGTGAGAGGCCGTGGCACTGCGGTGTCTGTGAGCTCCGGTTTGATGTGTTGGGTTCAGAAGGCTTAGAGCTCAGCCCGCCTCCCTGGGCACTGTGATGGTTACTCTATGAAACCGCAACCTCCTTTTTTTTTTTTCCTGATTTCAGGTAGATGCATTGAGGTTACGACTGGAAGAGAAAGAATCTTTTCTCAATAAAAAAACAAAACAGCTGCAGGACCTCACGGAAGAGAAGGGGACACTGGCTGGAGAGATTCGCGACATGAAAGATATGTTAGAAGTAAAGGAGAGAAAAATCAATGTTCTGCAGAAAAAGGTGAGTGGCTGACACATGCTCTTCAGGTTGGGAAGTGGCATTTTCCATGTTCTTTCACTTCAGATAGAGTTTTTGAATATCTGGAAAAGAATAAATTATTTTTTAAGAATTTTAGAGTAAAAGGTATAAATTTTTGAATTACTGGCATTTGACTTACTGGAGGTTGTATCATGTCATTTTTAGCATGGCCTGATGAATTTTCCATTTACCCATTAGCTAAGCAGTGAAGGTCTTTTCATTTGAATGCTTAAACATGGTGGTAATTGCACAAATTAGATATGTCTAAAATTTTAAAAACTCCAAATTTTTCCTGAGTGTTGAATAATATATCTTCTGTATTTTAATGCATTTTGAACTTAAAATGCATTTTGGGTCTTAAATGTATTTTAGCTGCATTTTATATTTACATAAACTTTAATAGATCCTATTCTGCCAAACCCAAATAGCTTTTAGGGATGGAGGGGGTAATGTTTGCATTTGTTACTTAATCGGTATCATTGAGAGAATACATAATTCTCACAGTGACCTAACACAGAAGTTGCTGGGTCTGGTTAGGGGCCTTCTTTTCTTCCTTCTTTCAGCAACTCATTTTCACCATTGTAGGGGATTCTGATTTTGTGATAGCACCCTGATTTTCTTTTGTAGAATTCACATTTGCCTACTGTGTATAGTTTTGATTGGAACATATTGTGTCCCGATTTTCCCTAGAAAAAGGTAGGCAAGAGTGAAACCAACACTTCCTCTTTGTACAGAAAGAAATTCTATTGGAAAAATAATAGGTTCTCCAATTAAGCAGGCAGCCAGCATGGATGCTGGGCAGGAATCACTGGTTGACAGGGAGTTGGTCTGGCCAGGACATTGCTGGGCATCCCTGCTGTAGGTGTAGGCAAATGGAATCTAACTTGTCCATCATCATTACCACCATCTCTCGACTTGTTTATACCAACAGCATCCTAACATTTCTCCTGCTTCTACTCTTACCTTTCCTACAAGCTATTCTTAACAGAAACTGGAGTAATCCTTTTGAAACATTTAACAATTCATATCACCCTCTGATCAAAACTCTCCAGGTACATCCAACCACAAATTTGATGGAACCCAGTGTGAAATGCAAATGTGGGGCCCCTTGATCAAAAATTATTGAGAATTTCAGAATGGTGATGGCTGAGCATTCAGCCAAGTACGGGCCCTTCCTGAGTTTGTGCCCTGTGCAACAATGCAAGTCATGGGCTCATGAAGCTGTCCCCATCTTCAGTGGCTTCTAATCTCACTCAGAGTAACAGTAGAAGTCCTCATCATGGTCTGTAGTGCTCTGCATGATTCAACTCCTGTTTTCACCTCCTGTCCTGCTGCTCTTCCCATTGCCTTCTCTACTTTCACCTTTATGACCTAGTGCTTTTCCATTGACACCTCAGGCGTGCTCCCAGGGCTTTGACAATTGCCATAGTCTCTGTGGGGACAGTCTCATCCAATACTTGTGCTGCTCAAGATGGTAGTCATGAGCCACAGGTGGCTATTAAGTTCTTGAAATGAGATATGTAGTAAGTGTAAAGTGCATAATAGATTTTGAAGTCAGTATAAAAGGAGGTGTGTGAGATATCTCATAAATATTTTTATATTGATTATATGTTGAAATAAAATATTGAACAAATAGGGTAAAAGAAAATATTATTGAAATTGATTTCACCTGTTTCTTTAAATGTTTCAAGTGTGACGACCAGAAAGTTTACAATTACCTGTGTGACTCCAATTGTTTCTATTAGACAGAGCTGTTCTAAATGTCCTCATGGGTCACACTTTTACTTCGTTCTGGGCACTGCTTGAACAGTACTTTGGTATACATCTTCTTTTCCCTTCCTATACAAGAGAAGATGACCGCCCACATTCCTACCCTCTGTAGTCCCTCATTCAGTTGTTCTATCTAAGGAGAAGTTATTTCCTAAGTAGAAATCTGACAATGCCAATTTTTTAATTTGTTCATTTACACAACTACAATATTAAATGCTTGAGGGCAGAGGCTTTACTTTCCCCCAAGTACTGTGTTTTTACCAACCAGAAGGTCTACTGCTCCATAAATATTTATTGAATAGATGAATGAATGAGTGAACTTGCTCCAGAGTTAAAGTCTTGGGTGGAGCATTCAGATGGACAAGCTTAGGTGACATACTCAAGCCCTACTCTAACCTGTGGCTTTGATTCAAGGGCATAGCTGTGCAGAGGTGAGAATAATAATTGGCATTCATTTGTTTTCATGGAAAGTCAGTGATGATGTTATCAGAGAAGCTCCAAAACCTGGAACCCCACCTATCCATGTTCTAGCCTCTTCACAAGATAGTTCTTTAGCCTTTTTTAAACTCAGTTTCCTTCCTGTGCATTCTTTTTCTCTTAAAATCAGCTAGAAATCCTAAATTCACATACAGAATAACATGACTCTCATTTAAAAATTAATTAAAGTTATATTTAAATTAACTAATGGAAATGTTACCAAAGAGTTAAAGTAGAGACACAGCATTTATTTGAAAGCTTCAGGATATGTGTGATCTGATGGATCATATTGTTAATTTATTTCTGTCAAGAGTTTTACAGAAAAGGGTCTGGTCATTAAATTCCACTCCACTTCCCTTTGCAACCTCAGCTAAGAATCAGATGTTTAGAAGACAGGTGGGAAGAGATGGCCAAGGACCTTTGAGTCTAAGTGGCTTTGTAGGGCAGTACTAAGGGAAATTGTTACAATGACAGTTCTTGGGCATGTTTTAAGGATTCAAACGAAGACTTTTCATTTAAACTCCCAGCAGCAAATGATAAAAGCTGACATTTAGTGAACTTAGATTGACCACTGTTTGCTTGATACTCTGCTGTGCTAGTAACGTCCTGTTTTCTTACTTTTGAGCATAGCCCTATGAAGCAGGTACACTTATTAAACCTAGGAAACTTAGGGATTCTGAGATTTATGGTAGGCGTGTCCAAGGTTATACAGTCTAGATGTAAGTTTTTTGTCTTTGGGAAAAGAACATAAAATGATTTTATTTATTTCAAATAAGCCTCATTTTCCATTGAGCCACAAGTTTTATGATAAAAACACCAGGTGTGAGAGTGAATCAAGGAAGAACATCACAATTGAATATTTTACCAGGAGTGGAGACTAAATGCTCTCATTCTTGAGGAATAAATGGCAACAATTTTCTCAGTAAAGATTTTAAGATGGGGCATTCAATTGGAAATGATAAATGATCACTTTTGCTGATGTGTATATTTTGCAAAATGTTAAACTTTCCTGCACAACCAGACTTAAAAGTTTGGGAACCAGTTTGGAAGTTCTAGAACAAAGCTGGTTGTATATTTATGATTTCTTTGGGCAAATGATCACATTCCCACTTATTTAGGTCATGCAGATAATGGATTTTTCACTGTTTACCAATACATTTGAGGAAAAAATAAAAGCACTGGCAACATAGGGAAGGAACAGAAGTTTATTATTCCTGCAGATTCTAAAAGAGATATTAGGAGAGATAATCTCAATGGAAGTAATGTGCACAATTCAGAAACCTACTCAAATGATAATAAAAAGGCTCATGAAACAATGTCTTTGGGTCTGGAGACTCCTTGGCATTTGACCACAGTCAGTAAAATTGGCTCTTTTAGGGTAGGCCTAGATTGGAGCAGCATAAGCTTTGGATTAGGGGGTGTTGGCATGGAAGAATAATAAACTCATGTCAATGTCAGAGGTGCAGTATTACTTAATATTTCTTTCTCCTAGACCTTTTGGCAACCTGCACTGTGTTTTGATGCCAGTGGAGCTGGGTACGCTCCTTTCATAGCCATGTTTAACCTGGCGAGGTTAGGCTTGCACCTCATATCTGTCAGCTCTGCCTTCAGAGGCCCTGGTCTCAGAAGGCTTGTGTACTCCATAAGCCACTTGGACAGATCACATGTCTGGGCAGCAGGCATGGACATGATGCTCTGAGCATTTTGTTACTTGAGGAAGGAAGTGAGGTTGAATAAACAGAGAACCCCAGGTGGCAGAATATCTCTGATCAAGCTTTTGTAGGAAGCCAGAAATCACTGAGGAGGGATTTTTGGTCCTACTGCTATAATTTCAAGATAGGAGTTGCCTTAGCAAGGGACAGAAATGTGCATGTATGGAGATTTTTAGTGGAATATCCTCTCATTGCCACAATGTCAGAGGAGCAGCACAGTTTTATAGCAGACCTAGCATTCTGTTCCCATACCTGAATTTAGACTTCAACTGATGAAGTGCTACCTGACTATTGAGTTTTTGTAGGAAATGTCATAAAACCTTGATGACATTGTACATTTGGAAAGTGTATAATGCCCTGGATTTCAGGACATGGTAGCATTATTTGAACCAGATCAAATTCAGACTGTTATGCAGCTCATAGATTCTTACAGCATGAACTTACTACCCAAGAAATTTTTTTTTAAGCCATTAAAATTGGACAAAAATTCTATCTCCATTTTCATTCTAGGTCTCAGTCCCAGGAGTGATGTAAATTTATAGAGCAGAGGTACTTTATTAGGGTAGAAAAACAGATGGTGATTTTTCTGGAAGCCAAGTTCACTAGCTGCCTACTGGGCTTCATGGATTGCCCTACAGATTGGAAAGGGCAGGGATGGGTAAGTGGAGTTGGCTCCTGGGAGTGTTATATACAGACTTTCCTACTTTAGCTTCTTTATCCTACTCATTTGAAACTGTGGTGGTGAGAATTTTGAGTAATGGTTAAACTCAGCAGTAAGGATGCTATGGAGCTTGCTTATCAGCATTCTGGCTTTCTTCATGAAGTTTACCCCCAAAATAGTAACATTTGAGAGGATGACTACAGAATGTAGAGATTTCCACGTTAGTCTAAAATTGATGTAAACTATCGACTTTTTGAGTGAATCGAGCTTTTTTTCAGGTTTAAACATCCAGTTGAACTTTTATGTTATTGGCGAGCCTTCTAATTTTTTAAACATGTACAAAATCATATTCATTTTGCATT